GATTTGGAGTGATCCAAATCTTATCCTTCCTTCAGTAGCCATTTTGAATCCCCCTCATCACTATTTCATTCAAACCAGACTAGTCCACATCCATGTCCTTCTTCTGTAGAAATGGGAAGAAAGTACCATTTCCAGCAACCTCAATTCTTCTCAACCTCACTCTCAGTATGCTATTTGGTCTCTCTGTACAGAAAATATATACAGAATGGGAGTTTTTCTATCTTTGGGGCTCTAAACAGATAATAAATAGCAAATCACACTCCTATAAACCATATACTTAAGGAAAAGAGCAAAAAGAATACAAGGGAGCTCCTAGTATCACCTGCTAATTCAAAAATGCTGAAAGTACTTTCACCAAATACGTGTGCTCTCTCATAAGATTCTATATCTCTATGAAATTCTAATGTTTTCTTCTGCATCCTGGATAGTATGGATAATATATTGCACTTTTGAATCTAACATAACAGTATCAGAAGACTGTCACCTTGGGTGTCACAAATCACATGAGCGATTTTCCTGAAAGATTCTGGAGAGAACTGAAGGAGAAGGAATTTTGGAGAATGAAGAAAAAGCCATAAGAGGATCTTCTCTAGAAAAAGAACAAACTGCCCTCCTTTTTCTTTTCTATTTTTTAACTCTGATTTATCCAGATACCAGGTCTCCATGGACAGAAATGACTAGATAACTGCATAAACCCTCTGTCCACTTTGGTTTCTACAAGTTCAGCTGGAGAAGCGGAGCTCATAAGAGATGGTGGGCACTCTGACACCCAGAACAACTGATCGCTAATCAATACTGGCTTGCTCTAGAGTGGATGGTCCATCGCTGTCCTCTGTCAATACTCTTTTCTAAAACAGCATGTTCTGAGTTCGCTCACCAGTTAGCCTGATGATCCTCAAGCTTGACAACTGCACTAATCAACTTCAAATCAGTTTAGCACTGTCCAATGAAAGGGCAGTATGCAGTGGATAAGGCAGAGCCAATGTGGGCAGGGAGCCATGAGGAATGGACACCCCTCCGACATGTGTGCACTTGTTTTAGCACTAGCAATAGAAGTCACAGCTCCTCCCCACTGGCAGACAACTGGGAGGGCTTAGTCCCTCATGACTACATTACCTGATACGAAAGCTAAGTACTTTGAAAATCTAGGACTGTATAAATTTATAAGAATGTCATAATATAGCCACCAGAGTAGTTGGCTGTGGTGAATAGGATACAGGAAATAGAGATGTCATCCTCAACTTCACACTGAACCTCTAGTGTGTGACCTTGGATGTATCAATGTACCTGCTGCCTCCTTCCGAAAGTAAGCACAATATGTTTTTCTATTTCTACCTCAAGTGAAAGGTATGAGTTCCAATAACAAGCTAGGAGACAACTGTAGGTATCAGGCAGATGTGTGCAATAAAAATTAAGTACGATGTCCTCATTAAAAGGGAAGGGCTGCAAACAATAAAAGCCCCTGCCAACTTAAACATTAACATAAGTTACATTTTAAAACAAACAAAAATCCACTGAAGCAAAAACTAAAAGCCACATTTGGATGTAATGACACAAAAAAATGTCCATAACTACAATATTTCACTAATGAGAAGGTACAGATGCTACAGACAGAAAGATTTTACGGTATCCGTATGTTTCTCAGATGACCCTCTATTGCTCTGTATCTCTATTTAAGAGTCACCCACCTTCCCCACTGCATGGGTGTGAGCACAGCATTATGTGCTGTGATATTTAAACAACTTCAAAATAGAGGTAATTCTAGTAAAAAGAAATGACAGCAACACAACCACAAAACATCCTCGGATGCATATATTAATGCAAATCTGAATTATGTGTATCATCTAAACTAGCTAATTAAACAGGTTATATGGTCAATTGGCTTTATAATTTAAAACTCCTTAAACCCTTAATCATCAGAGAAATGCAAATTAAAACCACAATGAGATGCCATCTCACACCTGTCAGAATTGCTATCAGCAGTAAAATCAACAAACCACAAGTGCTGGTGAGGATGTGGAGAAAGGGGACCCTTTTGCACCATTGGTGGGAATCCAGACTCATGCAGCCACTGTGGTAAGCAGTATGGAGATACTTTAAAAAATTAAAAATGGATCTGCCTTTTGACCCAGAGATCCCACTTCTGGGAATATATTTGAAAAAACTCAAAATACTAATTCTAAAGAACATAACCATAAGTTCATTGCAGCATTACTTACACTTGCCAAGATATGGAAGCCGCCCAACTGTCCATCAGTAAATGAGTGGATAAAACAACTATGGGACATTTACACATACTACTCAGCCACAGACTCTACCCTTTATGACAGCATGGATGGTCCCGGAGAGCATTATGCTAAGTGAAATAAGCCAGTCAGAGAAAGGAAAATACCATATGATTTTGCTCATATGTAGAAACTAATGAACAAACTGAACTAACAAGCAAATAACAGACAGACTCATAAATGGAGAGCAGATGACAGCTAGTCAGAGGTGGGGGGTTATGGGGTAGACAGATTGAGCAAAAAGGAAAAAGGACTCACAGACACGGACAACAGCGTGGTGATTGCTGCAGGGGGGGGGAGTGGATATAAGGGAAGTAAATGGTAATGCAAGCTAAATATAATAAACATTAAAGAAAAACTCCTTAAATCCAAATATATTCAAAATATACCTCAAATATATACATAAAGTAAATACATATGTAGTGATATTAACTTCATAAAGCGATACTCTACTATAATATTGGGCATAATAGACATAATGATGCCCACAAAACACCCGATCATAAGTCTGTGATAATGTATAAAGTTATCCTTCTTATTTCAGAGGGGCATCATTATTCTTACAGAAGATGATCATTTACTATGCCAAACACTCTGTAGACAGATAGTTTGTTCTTACTTTATAATAAAGCCCTGCTCACTTACAGAGGGAAAGAAACAGGAAGAGGAAAGTTAATGACAAAAACACCTTCCCCTCTAACCACAAACTGGTACTCCACTTACAACTCTTAACTTCTTTCCACACAGCTTTCTGGGCAGCTACCAGCGCCCATTCTGCAGCAAAGTCGATCCATTCAGGAGGAGAGCTGGAAAAGCGTCTCTGCCTCCAGCTGGCCTCCTGATACCAAAGGCCAGACTCAGGAGTTCCACCCTCCATGCACCTGTCTACGGCTGAGAATACAGGCAAACATTCCCTTCTTCCAACACAGAAAATGACATATCCCAAGAAATTGCTTCTTTCCCCAAGATGTATCTTTTCCCCAAGATGTATTCAAACAAAATAGAAGGAAATAAATTACAAGAAAGTTTTACAACTAACTGAATTATTTGCCCTTTTGGAAATACAATACCCTTATTAAGCATTTTAAATGCAAATGTTTTCCAGAAGGCATGTCAGTGATTGGGTGTTTAGGTAATTAAGTTGGTCCAAACTGGAACAATGGTTTCAAAGGAAGAGGAGAACTAATGATCTGTGGTAGAAAGCAAATATATTAAACGAGAAATGTTCAGTCAAAATGATTTCCATAATAAACATCCACAGTCCCAAAGAGCAGTTCAAAAGATATCTTTTTCCAAGCCTGATATTTTAATTGTCCTCATTTATTAACTCAACATATTCTGTGCTGTTATTAATTACAGGATTTAAAAGATTTCTAAAGCATCAGAAAATAACGTTTGGACCTTTTCAAATGTCAAATGTTTTTCTTTCCAGATAACTTAAATTACTTTTCTTTAACATAACTTCTCTATATACTTATCTTTTGTCCTAGATTTCAATACTGCTTGCAAGATTTGAAAATATCGATTGTACTCCAAATACCTGTAATTCCTAAATCTTCTCCCTTATGATAAATCTCAGCACAGCATGAGTATTTTTGTGTAACAGCACACTGTTATACCCTTTGGGGAGAAAAAAATTAACTCTTCACTTTCTTTTCCAATTGCAGTTAAACTTTTTAAGCCTTTCTTATGCCACTCCTACATTTTGTATACACACACATACACACACTATATACTCGTACAGTGGGATATATGTAGATTTCTCACAGATTTCAAATGTTGTAGTTACCTAATCTAAAAGTTCCTTTCCAGAGAGCACACACGCCTCCCTGGCAGGGAAAACAAACGCGACTGATCTTCCTGAAATGAGAGCATAGCAGACTCACTAGAGATTTTCCAGTTCCATACCACAGGAACCGCGTCCTCGGCTCCCCGCCGCAGGCCACCTCTCCCTGACAACCGCGCCTCGGATCTGGAGAGCAGCTGGGTCCCTTTCGATCACCCCGCGGACACACAGGCCTCCGGCAGCAGCTCCTCGCGCTGCGGACAAGTGGGCGAAGGAAGGCTTCAAAGCCAAACAAACGCTGCCCGCTGGGCGCTCAGGGAACGCCCCCGTCCTCTCCTCAAGTCCCCACAGTGACAGTCTCGGGTGGCGTTTAATTCGCCAGTTTACATTAATAAGCTTACGATTCATCACTCTCCTTCTATTCGCCAAGGAACGGCTTTACCCCCACCCCCATCCTCCAGGCTCGGGAACTTTCTTAAAAGCCAGTATTCTGATGTATATAGACTTGGAACTGAATCCCCCAGGATACATCAAAGGTACCCCCACTAAGTATTGCTCCTCAAGCAACACGTTGGCAGTACAACTTTCCATTCAAAACTGGGCTCCAGCAGAATCTGGGGCCGGAGGTGGGGGGACTGCCCGGGGAGGGGGGCGGGTCAGGCAACCGCCCCCTCGCCTAGGTTGCCTAGCAAATGTCAGGGTCTACACCGAAAGATTACCTGGCACCGAACTTCTGATGAAGGTTTCCCTAAAGCCCTCAACCTCTGGGTTGCAAGATGCAAGGCAAGGGGCGTCGGGGTCCGGACGGGGATGCTGTTAACCTGGGAAGCCCGGCCAGGGAATTCAGCGGAGCACCCGGGGAACGCTCGGCCCCCAATTCCTAGCTTCCCCAGCGCGCGAGCCGCGGACCGGGCGGCGACGCCACTCACCTCCGCCCGCTCCTGCTGAGGCTATCGCGCCCTCCTTCGCCCCGCGCCAGCGACCCCCTAACTTCGCCCCCTTCTCCAAACAGCCATCTTTCGAGGAGATCAGAATGGCGAGGCAGACACCAAGGGGGGACTGAAAGTTGACTCGGGGACCGCGGCTGCTCCGCCAGCGGGGACTTAGCAGCTGCGACAGACTCCGGAGGAGGAGACGGCGGCGAGCGCGGCGGGAGCGGGGGGGGCGAGGTCGGAGAGCTCCGCTCGGCGTTCGGGACGCGCCGCGGCTGGAGCTCGGGAGGGCGGCAGCGAGCGGCTGCGAACTGTGAGCTGCGATCTGAACCGGTGGCGGCGCACGGAGGATTTGCTAAAAATAGCAACTCTTGGGGAGGAGGGTGGGGGGCGGAGGTGGGAGGGAGCCCCGGCGCGGCGGAGGCTGGGCGGGGCCGGGTGGGAAGCAAGGCGAGACCCGCGGCGGGAACGCGGGCCCGGGCGCCGGAGACCCGAAGGCCCCGGCGGTGCCGGCTGGGGTTGGAGACACCTGAGCGCCCTGCCGAGACTAGGGACGGAAGCTCAGCAGGCAGGACGACCCCGAGAGCCGCCTAGGGCTGAGCGGTGGAGAGCTCGGGGCTGCACCCGCGACCCTCCAATGCGAAGGACGGGCCACCTAAGACCTGGGATTTCTGAGGCGCAGCACGCCCACCCCAGACGCGAGGTGATGGCCTGGCGGCCGGTGCGCACGCTTCCCCCTCCGGACGTCTGGGCAGTGGCGGCCTTGACCAAGGACCATGCGGGTAGAAGCCCGGCTATCGCGGCGCCCGCCTTGGTTCCTGGAGTCTGGCAGCTCAGGTGCGCGCCACGCAGCGCCCGCGGGGCACAGCTCCGCCACTTCTTTTGCGAGGCTAAGGGAGCGTTAAGGGTCGATACCTAGAGGGCCCTCAGATACTCTAGGCGCTTAAGAATCATTCAAGGGAATTTTTAAAAAAGAAAATGCTACGTTTGGGGCTTTTAATTTTTTTTGTTTTTTAATAAAGGACCAAATAGGAAACGCGAGGAAATATGGTGACTGCTACTGGAAACAAGAATTAGGTTTGTCTCGTTTTAAGGCCAAAAGGAGAGCCCCATCCGCTGTGAAACCATCCCTCTTAGTTGGGAGGCAGAATCGGTAGATCTGCGAAGTGCTAAGTTGATCCCCTTCAGTGATTACTATTTTTACTTTGTGACTTTAAAAGCAAGCAAACCAAAACCCAAGAACAATGCTATAACTTAGTCTATACTGGTATCACTAATACCTAGAGAATTCTTTTATAAGGCGTAGAACACTGAAAGATATGAAATTTAAAAAAAAAAACACCTGTAGTCCTAGACATACTTGTCCAATGCTAATATACGATCACCCAAAGAGGCTAATGTTTACGGTATGTATAATTTGACCCACAAAAGACTTAAAGCTAGTGCCTCTACGTGTACATTTATATTTTCCTCTACTTCAGCTAAAACATAACAGGTTCGCAAATTATAGGCATGGAAAGAACAAGCGAGACCTAACCCAGTGCCCTCGTTTTCAGAGGGAGGAACCGGTATCCACAGGAGTAAGGTGATTTGCCGGAGGTCTCACAGCTGGTGGCAGGGTTCAGATTAAAACGAGGGTATCTTAGAGTTAGCATAGACATCGTGGAGGTGTGATGTCTGCGATTTAATTTACAATACTTCCGCAGTCATTGTAAAATGAAGGCATGCAATGGTTAGATTTAACCCTCACCTTGCTCTAGTCAGGAATTCACTCTACGGGGATGGTCAGCCAGCTTTGAATGGAAAAGATCCCACTCCTGCAGCGAGAGCTTCAGCTGGTTTAACTTTCTGTCTACACCAGGGATTCTGCTAATTAGCCTGATAAATCTCAGTAATGGGTTCTCAGTGGAAAAATCTGGTGCTGACTAAAGTATTTTGAAGGGACTTCTCATTTGGATATAAACACAGTGTAAGCCGAGGTAAACATCTAGTGACCTTTCACCCTCTACCCTCCAAAAATGGAGTCCTTTCTGAAATGGTCAAGTTTTTTTAATGTGTGTGTATGTGATTCTGGTTGCCTACTACTGACTCCAAGAAAAACAGTTTTCTCTATTGTTTCTCAAGAAACTCTTTCCTGTGAGGTTGAGACAGAAAAAAGGACAAATGGCTGGGATCTCAGGAGGTGTCTGTGCAATAAATGTGTGTGTGGCAGAATTCGAACTGAAACTTGTGGTAGAGGGAGCAGTTTATCTACACTGATCTCCGTTTACGCCGACCACATCTAGGTCCTTTTTACAACCGGGAGCCGTCTTCCCCAGCCTCCTCTGAGACGTTTGAGTGCTGCCTCTGAGCAAGGCACTTGCTACTAGGTGCTACGGAAGATTCAAATATTTTAAGATATGGTTTAGTAGAAACGATTCTAGTTTCTCTTAAAAGTCCTGATGCAACTCCCACCGCTCCTTGTTCAAACCTATGTTATAAATTTATGACACCATATGGTAATTTTTTTCTGATTTTATTCTCTCAACAGAGCTCTGGAAGAACACAGATAACCCACTCTGGTAGTATACTTTTTGTAGTTTTTTTCTTTTTAGAACAGTTTTACATTTGCAGAGAAATTTATAATATACTACAGAGAATTCCCTTATATTTTCCCCATGTACACACACAATTTCTGCTGTTAGTAACATCTTACATTAGTGTTGTACCTGTTACAATTAGTGAACTAATATTGACACATTATTATTAACTGAAGTCCACAGTTTATTTTAGCTCGAACCAGATTTCCTGAGGTTTTACCTAATGTCCTTTTCCCATTTCAGTACCCCATCCAAGATTCATTATAGTTACTGGTCATGTCTCCTCAGGCTCCTCCTGTCTGTGACAGTTTCTCCCACTTTCCTTGTTTTTGAAGGCCATGAGAGTTTGGAGGAATAATGATCAGGTCTATTGTAGGAGGCCCCTCTGTTGGAATTTGTCCCATGTTTTTCTCACGATGAGACTGGAGTTATGGGTTTGGGGAAGAAGATCAAAGAAGTGTCATTTTTTAGCACAACATATCAAGGGTACATGCTAGTGACATGATTTACTACCTTTGATGTTGACGTGGCTGAAATAGGGGTGGCCAGGTTTATCCCCTGTAAACTTACTCTTTTGCCACCCTTTCTAAGCTGTAGTCTTTGAAAGAAAGTCACTTTGCACAGCCCACTCTTAGGAGTAGGAGTTAGTCCAACTTCCTCTGGGGCAGAGTAATTTACATACTTTATTTAGAATTCTCATGCACTCATTCATATTTTTTCCAGGGAACATCATAATGCCCTCATCATATTAGGTTCGTATGGATCACAAGATTACATTTGAATGTAATTTTTCCCTCTAAGAAAACTGATAATTCTGAATTTTATTTTTTTTAAGATTTTGTTTATTTATTTATTTGTAGATGGAGGGGAAGGGAGAGAGAAAGAGAGGGAGAGAAACATCAATGTGTGGTTGCACATCAAGCACCCGCAACGGGGGCACATTTAATCTTATTTAGGAAGTTTAGGCAGTTTAATCTTATTTAGGAATCTTTCATAATGTTTTAGGAGAAGGAAGATGGGCATCAGAGTAAAAAAGACCTGTCCTCTTATTCTGTCTTGCACATTCTGTGACCTTGATCAAATAAATTAGTCTGGTTATCAACTTTAAAAAATCTAGTCAGCAAGTGTACCTCCAGTAAGAGAGGAGGATATATCAGAATTAGGCAGAGTCCCCTGAACTCAGGGCAGCCCAACCCGCTAGGCCAATGTCTGCGTGCCTGCTGTAGCGTGTTCTAGTCATGCGGCTTTCTTCTTCCTTTTTTTTGTCACCGAGAAATATCATTGAGCACATTGTTGTCCTCTCCACAATACTTCCAGTTTTCACTGAGATCATTTTTTCCTAGAGGTCATTGCATTTTGAACATAATTTTTTCTCATGGTTGTTAATACTCCCTTGGGAGGTTTACATGACTATTTTTTTTCTCAGTTCACTGGGTCTGTTTCTAGGTCTCCAGCAATAGATACTGTATTATTGTTCACTATCTGTTCAGGAATTCCCCATGGAAGGGAGAGGTCGTGAAGTGATAGAGGTTGCACTGTGACCCATTAAGGATTTCTTCCCCTTACTGAATTCTGAATGGAAACTGGGTGAGCATTCTGCTCTTGTTTTTAATAATTTCCCTTCGTATGTAGAAATGTGGGGGTCATAGTAAGGTTGAATCGAACTCATTGCTCATTTTGAAATACTCTGACGTGCAGTGAGTGGCCCACCAGTGTGAATGCTGTTGTGCGCATGTCAGCAGACTGGCAGACCAAGTTTTTGAATGATGAAACAAAAGCCTTTGCTTATACTCTCATGGTGTCTTTTCAAATAATAATTTGCATATTCACTTTTCTAACTACTTCATATAAAGGTGTTCTGCGTACCTCAAGTCTGCAGCTGGTAATCAGCTCACATTGGAATAAAATATTTCAAAATACAGATATATATTTATATGTGCAAGCCTGTATTTACATACAATATTGGCAGGTAAATTAAAGTCCTTATTGAAAAATCCTAACAAACAAAATTTATGCCAATTAAGTTAGAGGAAGAACGTAATCAAATTAATGCTATTTTGGAGCTGTTTCTCATTATGCTTGGACTTATCATTAAGTTATATTTCAGCTCTAATATAATATTACCTTAGGATGTGAAAGTATAAATTTAATGTTGCCTTTTAAATTGAGGGTGTTTAACCAGCTGCATAATATTGTTTGTTATATGAAGAAACATCCACAAATTTTAGGATGCCTTTGCAAAGGAACCTATTTTCAGTCACTCTAAGAGGTCGGGTTTGCTTTTCAGCTCTGGAAGATCTAAAGCAATGGCTTGAGGTAATTAAATGTTTTATTTATTTACTTACATACTTATTTACTTTTAAGACAATAAGACGTGGGAAGCTACTAGTATTGGTTTAGTAGCTCAAGAAGATAAGAGCAAGGTTTTGTGACTTTTCCAGGCCTTTTCATTATCGCTGCCAGAATGTCCGTGGCAGCTCCTGACGTCAAGTCTAACTTCTAGAGGGTAAGAAAAGGCAATGGGGAGGGGCAATGTAAAAAGAGCAGCACCTGTGTCTGGGAAAACAGGTTTTTCCAGAAGTCTCAAGCAGACTTCTACCCGGTTCTCGCTGGCCACAGCTGTTCCAAATCATCAGCCCTGTCTGCAAGGGAGGAGAGAGCAAATTTTATGTGATGTGTCTTTATTTTCTATTTTCCAGCCCCTGTACCAGAGGAAGACAAGGAAGAG